CTAAGCTACAGCTAAAAGTGCTACCGCCAGACCCGGAGATCGGCTGAATGGATTCGAAAACGGTAAAACTCAACTGTTTAACTCTAGGGGAGTTGGAAAATGAGCCTATTTTCAAAAATAGTGGAGTGTTCCTTTAACCTAATTGTGATTTACTAAACACTGTTCTTGTAAAGCTTTATTGATTTCTTATATTCTATTATAGATGTCATTGGAGGAGATGGTGACAAAGAAGGAACAAATTGGAGAAGCATTGAGAACTACCCAGCTGATGCTAACCAAACACAGTGACAAGTATGTTATGTCAATGGAAGGGAAAGAATTCACTGAGAATGAATTGCGGCTCTAATAGCATTGCTTATTTGCATGCGCTTGTCTGTGTTGTTTTAAGCAATTTCTGATTTTTAAGAGTTTTATGCGCTTTTGCAAAAATTTTTGTGAAATGTTTTCTTTCACCAGAATGACTGAAGAAGAAAAGCAAGAAGCAAAAGAACAGCTGAAATCTCTTCATCAGGCATACAGCGAGCTCTCTCAACAGAGTGCAGATGCAGCTTCCTCAGCTGATCAGGTGAGATAAGGATATTCTGCCACTGCCAACCAAATGCTGGTTATATATGGAGGTGGTTGTGTGTGAAGTGTAAACACTCTCTCCAACGGCATGACTAACCTTTGTTTTGACAGCTTAAAATATATATAGCATGATAAGACAGTTTCCAAAAGCCTCTTTAACCCTTCAATGCCACCACTGCAAAGATGGAGAAAGACTCCATCAAGAATGTGTGTAATTGAAAACTTCACTGTAAACTGAGTATGCTGTAAACGTACATTGCATGTCAGCCACTCTCACTCTTTCTTCACAGCAAACTCAGAGGACATTCTTTTTGTCTCCATGGGGTTCAGCACATTGCACATAATAACATAATGCGCAGCTTGTTTTCTCTAACTCTGTTGTTCTACAAAATACTAAGATTTCTGTTCACAGATGCATGTAAGCTTATATTATGTCCCACTCTCTTGCTGATGACTTGCTCTGAGCTAGTACAATCCATAGACTGGGTAAGTATGTTTGATCGTATTTATAACCAAGACAGTAATGAAAATTTATGTAGTGATCATGTTTGAACGTACATTTAGAAACATCTTGATTTCTTTAATCTCTTTCCAGGCACTGCAGGTCATCCAAGGGATTCTGGATGTTGAAAGTGGAGCTGTCATGTCTGTGTGTTACTCTGTGAACAATGGCTTCATCGACCAAAACACAGGACTTGGTCTTCTAGAGGCACAGCTTATAACCACTGGACTCATTTGGCCTGAACAGCACTTGTATATGGACTTAGAGGAAGCATTCAAGAACAAACTTGTGGATGACGCAATGCGCAAGCAACTGCAAGACTTGAATGAAACTAAAAAATGTCTTCAGGATCTTCAGTTTGCTTTAGAACCCTTGCCGGTTATGGCAGCACTGGAAAATGGGGCTATATCTGAGCAAACAGCTATGAAGGTCATTGAAATCCAGCTAGCGACTGGAGGGTTAAGACTGACATACACTGGTGATATTCTACATCTGGAAGGGGCTTTTCAACTTGGCCTGATACCTCAGTCGCTCTTTATCCAGATATTGGAGAGGAAGGACACATGGAAGAACTTGATTGACCCCAACACTGCAGAAAAAGTCACACTTAGTCAGCTTGTGCAGAGAAGCATGGTGCACGAGCCGACAGGACTTCGCCTGCTTCCAGTGAAACGTGGAAAAGATGGAACTATATCCCTGACATCTGGAAGAGAGATCAACATTATGAAAGCCATGCACGAGGGCGTCATTGATAGAGAGACCATGTTTCGGTTGCTGAGCACCCAGTTGTTTGCAGGAGGCATAGTTGACACCAAAACTGGCCGAAAGCTGACTGTTGAGGAGGCCTTATCTGAGGGTCTGATCGATCAGGACACTGCGAGTGAGATACTGAGCCATCAGGCCCAAAATGGTGGCATTGTTAATCCTTGCAACGGGGCGAGACTTACAGTCGATGAGGCTGTCCAGTGTGACTTAATAAGCTCCAGCAGTGCGTTGTTAGTTCTGGAGAGACAGAAAGCCTTCATGGGTCTCCTTTGGCCTAACGCTGGTGAAATTCTCTTGTTCTCCACCTCTCTTCAGCAAAACATAATCACAGACAAACTGGCGTCTGAGCTGCTGCGTAACCGGCACAAAATAACAGCCTTGTACATACCTGAAACCTCTGAGGTAGTTGACATTGATTCTGCGGGGGAGAATAACTTAATTGAGACATTTACAAAAGAGTTGTTGAAGATGATAGAAATCCCAGATGTGGTCCCTGATATAGATGAACTGAATAACAGGTTTTCATCCTGGCTGGTAATGCGAGAGCTTCAAATCGATGGATCTTGTTCATCCGGTGAAGAAATCAGTGACGAAAACAGCTCAGATGGACCATCTCCCTCTGAGGCAAAACAGTTATTTATTTCCTACCTCATAATGAATAGCTATATGGATCCAAAGTCAGGCCAAAGGCTGTTGATCTTTGATTGGCAGTTAAATAAAATGGCTAAATTACTCTTTGAAACATCAGAATCAGATGTAGATGAGATTAGCGGACTTTTTATGAATGTTTCAGAAGAGCCTCCACTGAATAACAGCATTCCTGACAATGCCAACGCTAGTCTGAATGTCGATTATGGTGCTTTGGGAGAATTGCAAATATGTGAATCTTTGGAAAGCACAACAGAAGAAGAGCATGAAGTGGTGAATTCCAATGCATTACAGAATTGCCTAAAACCTACTCTACCTTCTGAATCGGTTGTAAATACTGTAGAAACAGATCACAAATGTGATATTTTCCTAGGCAGTGTTGAACATATGACTGTAATTGAAACTAACAAACTGCCTAAGGATTCTACAAGTTCATACACAGACAAGTGCCAATCAGACATAAGTGACGTAGCTTCCACTCAGCCGTCGAATGCAATGCAGTTACAACAAACAGCCTTTTCTATAGCAGCAACTGCCTCAAGTCTGTGCTCGATGGTAGCAAATCCTGAATGTCATGATGCCAGTAAAGACCAGGAAAAACATTCAAAACACTCACCACTATTGTCCAGTGACACAACCAGCTATACAGAAGTGCCCTCTGAATTTCCACATACAGATGTTGTGTGGGATGACAAATTTGAGAGAGATTATGCCATCCATCTTCTTAGGGCACAAGTGGAGGAAGGTGGGATTTTGGATGTCACCTCTGGAAAACGGTATGACCTTGCAGCTGCTCTCGATAAAGGCCTTATTGATGAAGAGACTGTCTTAGAAGTACTCGCACTGCAGCTTCAAGAGGATGGTTTGAAAGAGAACGAAAATGCTGCTTTGTCAGTTCTGAACATTTCTGTCAGTAAAGGCTGCATCTCAAGTACGGTAGCACTACAGATAATGGAAAAGCAGAACCTTCTTGGTGGTTTCTATGATGCAGCAGTTGGAAGAACCATTAGCGTTTGTGATGCTTTAGAGACGGGTCTGATTACTGATGATCTCAGCAGAAGGGTTCTCTCTTCAGAGGCAATCAGGAAGGCCATCATTGATCCAGAGGGGAAGTGTGTGCTCAGTGTATATGATGCCCATCAGTCTGGGATGTTGGATGATGAAGAAGCTGAGAGAATGCTACATTCACAGCAGAATGAAAGGGAAGACATCATGGTGCCTGATTTAGCAAAAAGAGGACAAATAAGCTTGAGATCAGATGAAGCCACACAGGTATCTACCGACATAGCATGTGTGAGCAGTAGTCAGGATCTTCTGTTACCCACCATTTGTGGCATGCCGTCTAAAGCCATTTCAGCAAAAGACGATATGTTTGATAAAGTTTCTGAGACTAATGAAATAGGGGAGGATTGTGATGTACGATGTGGTAATTTCAAGACTATGGATTCTAAAAATGAGATAGACACAACAGATGAAAGAAAAGGAAGTTTCACTTTGGAAGGAAATGAGATAAAAAGGCCAAATAACAGCGTAGACCCTTTTGTTGTTGATGTTTCTTGTGAAACTGTAAGCCCTTCACCATGTATCAGGCAGATGGCATATCTTGAGACTACGGCGAGTCAGGTTGTTAGTCCTGTGCAGAGTGACTCTAGAATATCGTGTTCATCACAAAGTGATATCTGCTCCGAAGAAAGGAAATCAGAGAGTATACTTAATCCTGAACAGGAATTCAACAGGTCCAAAGTGGAGTCTGAAACAACAAATGCATGTTTTGACAAAGGTCTCTCTGAGAGCTTGAGCACTTCGCTACCAATGGTGGAAGATGTTGGACAAGTTAGAATACTTGCAGATGCACAGTCAACCTCGTCTTTATGTTGTGCAAGTGCCAAGTCACCAATGGAGACTGCAACAGAGGTGGATTTAAGTACTGATGATCAGTCCAAATTAGCTCATGAGAAAGTGCATGCATCATATGAAGTTGAATATGCCAATAATGTAAGTGAGGACCTAGATCATGAGCATTCTGATGAGGATTCAGGTGCGTTTAGTTCAGAGAATAGAGTACTAGAGATGGTTAAGTATGAGGACATGTCAGAAATGTTCAGAAATGCACCAAAAACAAAACCTGAGCACAGAGTGGTCTGTACAGAAAGCAGTATTGATTGTAAGGTAGAAGAGAGTGATGACATTGAAGACTCTGTGGGTTTCAAAGGATCCGAGGACACATGTCAGCTCAGTTTGATAGATTTAGCTGGATCAACAGTAAATTCCAAGCAGTTGCCACTCGAAATTGTTACTAATTCTAGTCAAGTTGATTCAAGTGGAGGTAATCATAACATACAGCATCCAAGTGAGCAAGGCATATTTTGTAATCATGTAGCCCCAAAGGCCACTACAAAAGATGAGTTAGCCAGGTCATCTGAATCAGACTTTACAAGTCACAATGATAAACGAGTAAAAGATGTGGTAGAAATGCTAGAGTCATCCTCGGGTCAATCTTCAGAGGATATGTTCGCAGAATCCAATGAATTGCAGTCTGCCCGCCAAATTCCAAGTCCTTCCGTCAAAATCATGCTTGATCAGAATAGCGAACAAAGTGCAGACATCTTCAACCAGTCTCAAGCTGGAGATACAGTGGTTGCTGAAGATGTACACCAGGATGACCTTCATTTACCTTACATAGCGATGGCCGAAGATGAAAGTTTACCGAAATCAATGGGAAGCAGGGATTTAAAGTATTTTTTAAATGCGTTAATCCAAATGAAGAAGGATGGAGCAAGTATGGAAAAGACTCAAAAACAAAAATGCCAAGCCATCGATAGCATTATTGAAATTATTCAGCACCACTCTGGAATCTCACCAACCAATCATCCCAACTCAAATGAGAGAGGTGGGGATCCAGATATCCTTTTGGATTTGAAAAAACATGAAGGACCAAGAGAAGCTCAGAACTGGCCATCTAATGAGAGTAATGATGAACTAAAGCATCAGACTGATCTGCTGGTGATGATTCAGAGGATCTCCACAAGCAGAGATCAAGAAATGCTCAAGGAAGTGGATGGAAGGCTAAGCAGTTTTTTGGAGCGTACTGCCCTGAGAGATGAAAGCATGGAAGCTAAAAGCATTGCTGTTCCAACCACATATGCTGCTGCTACAGATGATGCCTTCCAGCCAACCGGCTTTATCCACCAGGTCTCCATGGCAGAGGATCCAAACATAAAGCAAACAGATGGCGTCAAACCGAGAGTGAGTACTGATACTACTCTCAGCTGAGCTGTGATTTGCAAAGTATTATCAAATCTGCGTCATCCAGATGCATGTTTTGGATAAAGATGTAAGTATAATGGTGTACTTCTTGCAGAGATATTCCACCCAGAATTACTTGGAATGTGTTGGGAGGCTTCAGGATCATTGCGATACTCTTGAAGATATAAAAAGTGACTTGCAGACCAAGGGTCCATTAGCAGAAGACATTGAGGGGTTGCATAGTCAGTTAGAGGAAGTTCAGGTTTGTCACTTATAAAATATAAAGCTCTCTTTTCACTTGACAGAAATTCTCTTAACCCGCAGACCCCAAATACTCCAGTTTGCCAGTGCTTTCTGTCTGCATGGTTATCTGTGCTGTAGTCTATTGCTTGTTCCTTTACTCTGTCGCTCTTCTTCACAATTCCTTCCTTTTGTTCCCCAACTACTCCCACCCACTCTGTTTCTAGTCTCTGGAAGCACAGATTGCTGCTCTTCCTGACTTGCTTACAGCAGATTTGAGCGTAGCAGAGCAACTTCTGAATTCCGCTGATGAGCTCATTCCCATGCAAATCCACCAAGATTTGGCTGCAGTCAATGTAGATTTACAGAATGCTTTCACAGATGTTTGCCACTTGTCAGCTGAGCGAAGTAATGCTATTCTACTAGCCGTTGACACAGTGAAGGTTAGTAAAGACTTATGAAAAGAAAGCAAGAGCAATAGAGAATGATGAAAATTATATTCTCACAGTTGTTCAAATATGGGTTACAGATCCATTTGGAAACCTCATATCAAGATTTGCTAAGCTGTCTTGATAAGGTCTCAGCTTGCATACAAGACAATTCTGAGATGGTGTCTAAGCTTGATTTCATGGATGCTGATAACATAGAAAGAACTAAGAACAAGGTTCAGCAAAATAAGGTAAGTTGTCTTGTACGTTATTGGAAAATCTTGCTAAAGTTGCCTGAAATACAATGTTTTTATACAGTTAAAAGTACAGTTTATCTACCACATCAAATGAAGTCTGGTGAGTTTTACTTAGTGTTTTTAATTGTTCCTGATTCAGGACATAGAGAAAGACTTATCAGGAACCCGGCAGCTCCTGGAAGACGCAGCTTTTGATATCCAAAACTTCATTTCTGGGCATGCTCAGTTCCTGAGTCCGACTCGTAGCAGATACCTTCTAAGGGCTCTCAGCGCTACCCAGAGATCTTACAAAGAGCTCATGGACAGAGCCTTCACTCAGAGACAAACTCTAGAGGTCCAACTGGAGATCCGTGAGGAGGAGAATCAGCAGAAGGTCTGAGAGAGATGGAAGAGATCACACTGACCATTGACCTTTACAGTACCTAATCACATGAAAATGCATGAAGATATGTTTGTTAAAAACCTTTACAGTACCTAATCACATGAAAATGCATGAAGATATGTTTGTTAAAAACCTTTACAGTACCTAATCACATGAAAATGCATGAAGATATGTTTGTTGCTTTGATATGTTGTATATTTTGATATCAAGTGTTGGAAAATGGATTGCCATTTAAGAGGTAACCCAAAAGACCCCTTAAAGTATTATTTTGTTTAAGGCACAGACAATATCTTGCTACTTATGGCTGCAAAATCTGGATATGCCCATGGGTAATCACAATTTTTTTAGTTATTTTTGACCAACTATTAGGAGTACACTAGCATGTAGTGCAAATTTTAGTCTCAAAGCTGGTATGCACTATAAGCCAAAAAAAAACCCCTAAATTTTCTACTTCACGGGGTCTTTATAAAGAGTTTTAATTATGTTTTTAAGTCAAAATTGACTATTCATGAATGTATTATTTGTGTGTGCGTGTGTTTTGCTGAGTTTAATTACATGACTTTTTTTCTATTTACAACACAGAAAAGCCATGGCTTGATCACTGCCACCAACTTACCTTGTTCTGTTCATGTGTGCATTTTTCCGGCTGCCTGAATCTATTCAGCTCTTACTACCAAAGGACCAGCGTTTTATTCTATGTGAACAGTAAAGGCAGCACTAACCCACCTTTCTTTACCATTGCCAAAACCCCTTTGAATTGCTGGCATGTTTACAGCATACTCAGTCACTACTAATGGTTCAATGCTCAGTATTTTGTGTGATGCTGCTTTAGCTCTGGAAGAGGTTTCTTTTCTAACTGAGTCTTTATATTTTAGGCTGCTGTGGAGAAGCAGAGGGAGTTTTCAGAAAAGCTGCAGGAGCTGTTTGATGATCTGACACAGACAGAAAACCGCCTCATTGGCCACCAGCAGCAGGCTGCTAGTGCAAAGACTGTGGGAGACCTCCAGCAATACCAACAAGAGCATCAGGTACAACCTGGTAACATTTTCTACAATGCTTGTACATAGAATACACATCTTTATAAGGTTATTGTTGGACTTTGTTAAGCATCACTAAAGTTATTACCTGTGCTGCTGCTTCATCTCCTGCTCAAGACATCGGCACATTAACTCATCCCACACATTTATGAAACAACCATGAAAAATACCTCCATTTGTGCTAATTATTGAATAAAAACATTCTAAAAACACCCACAACACTCTAGCAATACTCTAGCAACTCTTAGTAAATGCATAGCCATGCAACCACACAAATCAGCCTATTGATGACCTAGAAATACAACTGTAGCAACACCTTAGAAACCATCTTGATTACTCAAGCAACTACCAGGCAACGTGCTAACAACCAGTCAGAATACCATGGCAGCTGCGTAGCAATGTTGTGACAAACATTTTCTGTTATATCCCTATATTTAAGAGAATGAACTACATTCTTTTCTGGAATAGTTGTTTATTTCCAAGTAATAATATATGCAACTGTTGATGCAATAATTGTGTATTTTTCATATTATTCCACATAATCGATTAGCCACTCATGTCTGCAAGTTACAGTGATTTTACCGTGGTTTGCATGCATAGGAACACCCCTAACCCTTACCTGTGGTAAAATTACTGTAATGCATGGCCTTATGTGGCTTGTTGCAATTAATTATGTGTGTGTGTGTGTGTGTGTGTGTGTGTGTGTGTTGGTCTCTCTCAGGCTCTACAGAAAGACCTGCAGGCTAATGCCAGTGCTCTCAATGAAGTCATCAGTAGCACAAAGAAGTTTCTGGAAGAGAATCGTAGCAAACTCACTCCAGAGCAAATATCGGCTCTTGAAAACAAACTGGAGGAATTGAAGAGCAAAGTGAACACGCTTAACCAGAGAGCAGAAGAGTCAAGGAAAGATCTAGAGAAAGTTTTGACCAGTGCTATCAAGCAGGAGACTGAGACGGTTAGAGGGGAAAAACACTTTCCCAAACACTATTCAACCAAAAGATTTCAACACATTGAATTTAGTCACTTTCTCTATTGCATTTTGTTTGTGATGGCTCTCAAATGTATCTTTGGATTTTCTGTGATTTTCAGTAAACCAATGCTATTATTTTATGTGCAACAATACAGGTAGTAGCTGTTGAACAACTTGAAGAGAGCAAAACTAAGATCGAGGGTCTTCTAGACTGGATCTCTAACGTTGGGAAAGAGAAAGAAATGGGTGGAATACAAAAGGACCAGATGGTTAAACAGAATGGAAACATGCCTGAGAACACATCAGTGAAGAGAATAATTGGAGAGGAAGATGATCCTAATGGAAATGCATTAGATACTACAGACAACACAAGTCTGCGTACTGGCGAAAAACAAGACGGTAAAAACCTGGACCTGGACCAGCAGTTTAACAGGGTTCAAGTAAGTACTTGAGTATATACATTGGTGCTTGAAAGTTTGTGAACCCTTTTGAATTTTCTATATTTCTGCATAAATATGACCCAAAACATTGATTCAGGTATTTCCACAACATTTTAATTGGGTTAAGGTCTGGACTTTGACTTGGACATTCCAAAACATTAACTTTAACCATGCTTTGTTAGAATGACTTGTGTTCTTAGGGTTATTGTCTTGCTGCATGACCCACTTTCTCTTGAGATTCAGTTCATGTACAGATGTCCTGACATCTTCCTTCCGAATTTGCTGGTATAATCCAGAATTTATTCTTCCATCAATGATGGCAAGCCGTGCTGGCCCAGATGCAGCAAACAGGCCTGAATCATGATACTGCCACCATTATGTTTCACAGATGGGATAAGGTTCTTATGCTGGAATGCAGTGTTTTCCTTTCTTCAATCATAACTCTTCTCATTTAAACCAAAATGTTCTATTTTTGTCTCAACCAACCACAAAACATTTCTCAGATATCTCTCTGGCTTGTCTACATGATCTTTAGCAAACTGCAGATGGGCAACAATGTTCTTTTTGGACAGCAGGGACTTTCTCCTTGCAACTCTGCCATGCACACCATGGTTGTTCAGTGTTCTCCTGATGGTGGACTCGTGAACATGAACATTAGCCAACGTGAGAAAGGCCTTTATTTGCTTAGAAGTTCCCCTGGGTTCCTTTGCAACCTGGCAGACTATTACACTTCTTACGCAAAATGGCATAAGACAACGATGTCATGTAATTTTCTGCATTAGGCGGGAATGAAGTTAATTTGGCCATCTTCTTGTGTCGCTTCTTTCTTTTGGAATGAGATTTCCTCCAATATTTTGGTCTCATTTGTTTGATTGGGTTCTCTTTGTCTACTTTCAGGACTTGTGTGAAAATATGATTGGGTCAGTTTTTGGGGGTCATATGCAGAAATATAGAAAATTTTAAACTTTCAAGCACCTCAGTAGCTGTAAATATCATGATTGTCATCACACCATTAGTTCAGTCAGGACCACTCTGTTTGATTAAGATTATTTTAGAGGTCCTGAACATTATTTTGGCAGCAGGCTTCACTCTGAAGGGTTCAGATTCTGATCTGTCCACGAGCAAACCTCACTGAGGTTTGAAATCCCGGAAACCTAATGCAATTACCAGAATTTTTAATATGCAACAGATATAAAATTCCATGCAGACGTGATACAGGTTCGTAAATGAGAATGGACAAGATTAAGCAACGATTAGCTGATTTCCGTGGACAAGACGTCTTGCTAAGGCTGGCCGCACACTAAACGATTTTCAAATCTTAAATGATTTTAAAACCATGGGAGACCACAGACATGAAGACAGTTCAACCGATTTTTAGCCTTATAATCCTCTGAACGCACACACTAGATGATTCGACCAGACCACGAGACCACACTTGTTGATTGTAGGAACGATTTCACAGTGACACGTGATCCCACAGACACTCGCGAGATCAAACGTGACTTGAGAAGAAAAACAAATCGAGGACAATCAACGTTGTCAGCTGGCTCCTGGTGCGCGTTCTGTTTCACAGTGAAAAACAAAGTATAAAAAAGAATATGGGTGATGTTTTCTCTGCTTTCATGACATGTTTGTGGCTGCCAAGTTTCAGCTATAGAAGCACGCAACATCCGTTAGGTGACGCTTGCTCGCTCTCATTGGCTATCGCGGGTATCACGTCAGAGGCAGTCCGATCAAGAGTTGTAAATATCAAACATGTTTGATATTTACGATTTGAGTTCGGGGATGCTCCTTCTCGATCGGGAACAGATAAATAATCGTAATGACACCACACAATATAGGATTTTTTTGGACAAAAAATAGTTTGCGACAAGCCGTGACTCAGGCCACACCCCCCGATCGTTTGGGGATGCAAATCGGGCTTAAAATCGGGCTTAAAATCAGCCTTAAAATTGTCTAGTGTGCCTGTATAAGGAGGAGCTGGGGATGGAGGAGGGTAAGCGCATGTCTGTGCGACAGACTAAGGCAAGTGTGAGTACGGATGAATTTATATATCATATTTAATTGTAGTGGGAGGAGTTACAATCAGCTGAGCATCAGCTGATGCTGGCTGTCACACCGTGGTCTGCCTGAATTACGCTTGATCTCCATTCGTAACTCTTCGAAACTACATTTCAGTCAGGACCACTCTGTTTGATTAAGATTATTGTAGAGGTCCTGAACATTATTTTGGCAGCAGGCTTCACTCTGAAGGCTTCATATTCTGAGCTGCCCACAAACAAACCTCACTGAGGTTTGAAACCCCCAACACAATGACGTAGTATGTTCAATTCCAAGATCAATCAGGGAGCGAAGCTCCCGCAATGGTTAAAAGAGGTGGCGTGCCTTGATATTGAAGGGAGTAGTGCCATACTCTGCGTCTGTCCCTCCATCAGTGACCACTATGCTCACAACTCAGATAAACTGCTGCACTTCCTCAATCAGCTGTCCTCTAACCATCAGTGGAACATTGGTCTGTGCACCTCCAATTCTCATGGACCAGTCTTTGTCAAGGCCCTGCTGATTCTCTGTCCAATCTTAACTTTTGTGGATGCTCTCTTGTCTCAGCACAGCAGAGAAAGCATATTTCAATTATAATCAGGAATGCTGTTCTCTGGTAAGGCGATTGGTGAGGATATTAACACAAAATTGATGTACAACAGACAAAATTTTGAATAGTCCATGAGAGGAAAGAACGATGCTCAATTATTATCCCCCCAACAAAATAGAGTATAACGGTTAGCTTACATGAAGATCGTTGTCTCCTTAACTGCAGGCTATTGGCAATACCCAAAAACCTGAGCAACAAGTATGTTTCCAAAAATACACAAAAAGCAGCGTAGCCAAACAACGAGAACAATGATAAAACAGTATATGTTCCAATAATGACTTAGTAACAAGCACGTTGCCAATAACCTGTTAACTTTTAAGTATGAGCATAAAAGGAAAACTTAGCTTAGCTTATGAAGACACATTCAGATGAATGGAGAGTGAAGAATATCCAGATGTGATGAAGATGCTTGATCTTACTGACGTCACACTCCTTCATGTAGGGAGGGCTGATCTCGACTGAACTGTTCTGAAGCCACTTCCAAATCAAGCCGCTTTTATACTGGTCGATACGGTCAATTGTGAGTTCAAGATCATGAACCTGAATCTGAAGTGAAATTCATGTGAGGAACAAATCCTTTCATCTGAGAAAGATTCCGATTGAAAGCTGTCCTGTGTGGTCTGCCTGAACTACGCTTGAGCTCCATTCATCACTCAAACTACATTTAAAGAAAATGTTTTAAAAACAAGGGCTAAGCAATTATATTCACCATAAGATCATTTGTTTATATTGGTGCATTCATGATCTGTAGACCCAGAATATTTAAATAAATGGTGACTTGTTAACAGCGTAAATGAGATTCAGGTGAATAAAATACATTCAGATTACTAAGCTCTCAATTCCCCATCTCCACAGGCCCACCACCAGGAGATCTTGTCCCAACAGCAGAATCTGATCATCGCCACACAATCAGCACAAGCGTTACTCGACAAACAAGCTCAAGTCTTGTCACCCGCTGAAAAAGACAAGTTACAGAGGGACATTAAAGAGCTGGAGGGTCGCTACAAGGCCTCTCTCACGCAGGCCGAGCAGCAGATGAAGCAGGTCCAGACTGTCCAGGAGGAGCTTCAGAAGTTCAAGGGGGACTGTGAGGAGTTTGAGACGTGGCTACAGCAGGCCACAGGGGAGATGGAGGAGCTCGGTGCGCCCGCTGCTGCTCTGGACACTCTGAGTAACAATCTACAGAGACAGAAGAGTTTCTCTGAGGACGTCATCTCTCATAAAGGAGACCTGCGTTTCATTACCATCTCCGGTCAGAAGGTGCTGGACGCAGCAAAGGCCTGCGATTGTAGTGAATCTGGGGGAGCTGGTGGCCTGCCAGTGGTTGAAATGTCCGGGACTTGTGCTGCAGTGAAAGAAAGGCTGGATTCTGCCGCCAGTCGCTACAAAGCCTTGCATATGCAGGTAATTTTCCTGTATTTGGTCTTTATGTAGAATCTGTGTCAGAAGCTTCAAATCCTAGAGGTCACTGCAAAAACAAAAAGAAAGAAATAAGAAATTCAGTTTTGCTTTAAAAAATTAAGCCTATTTCCAGGAACATTATAATTGCATTCTCCACAAACAAGAGTTGTTAGAATCATTTTGCTGGATGGGAAATGAAGCCCTTTATGATTGCAACCAATAGATGGCAGCATTTGCCTCTAAATTCAGCAAACATTCAAACAGTATTGAGCAGGTCTGTTATGACATTACTGATCCCTTCAGTCGTTTATATAAATAATGAAAAATGAAACTAATCGTTTGAAATGATACACTGAAAAAGCATATTTCTGATGCGTTTCAGTGTAATCAGCTTGGAAATAACCTGAAAGACGTGGTGGACAAGTACAAGAAGTATGAAGATGCCAGTGGTGCTCTGGTGAAGTGGCTGAATGTCTCTGAGGAAGAGTCCAGAAGGCAGCAGTCAGAGCCCATTGCTGGAGACCCACAAACCCTACAGAGACAGCTGGAGGAGACCAAGGCATGAGCATTATATCATTATATTCAGTTCACAGAATTATGACGCAATTATAAGGTAACTCTATGTGTCCAAACAGCGGAGATCTGCCAGAGATCTTTGTGCGTTCTTTGTTTCTGTTTATTTCCTGGTTAACATTTACCAAATGGCAAACAATCTATACGTTGTATACAAACAATGTAATTCTCATTCTCATTTGAACAATCACATGGAATTTTAATATTAAATATAATCAAATATAACAATGCCACAACATACATCTGAAACTCATGATAGCATAAACTCTCACTGCAAAAGAGAACAAAACAAAAAAATTTTGTTTTTTGTTAGACACAAGTCAGAAAGTTACTTAATGTTGGTCAATATATATATATATATATATATATATATATATATAT